AAACATGCTTCGATATGTCCTTGGTTGACTGGTCGCAGGTAGTCTCGTCGGCCATACAATTCTGGCATAGAGAACAGAACGATTGGTCTTCCATTGGGAACGTTCTGATTCTTTGTGCGTCGTATGCGGTGACAGTTCCATACAGACGTGACCCTATCCAGATCAGTCTATTATAAATATAAAGAAAAAGAATTTCAGGCTATTTTGTTAATTAGCATACAATTTACCACAACTCAAAACTGACATTACTTAATATTGCAGTCACCATTCAACTACACCCTGATGATTATATGCAGTATTGTATTTGGAGATGTTTTAACATCTAAAACTATTTAAAACATTAAAACTATTTAACGCCATTATGTGAGATTAAAACAAAAAAGAAATGGATTCTCGACTCTTAGAAAGACCCAGTAAATATAAGAAGCGCTAAAGTTAATTATGCATTACCAACAATCAATTAGTCTCATTTCAGCAGCCGAAACAGATAGAACTATAAAATGCTTTAATACCTGGACCAAAGTCATGAAGCAGAATTGGACGAGGCTTGTGTCTAGCGGGTCTCCTGCAAAATCCCCAACATCCTTCAATGCTTTCAGAACATCCATCCAAAATTGTATGCATTCTTTACGCAGCATACACCAAAAGGCTTCAATCCGCTGGTTGTGAGTGCTCCGCCCATAAATAAAGCTATTCTGCTCCGACAAGAACTCTTGCATCTGTGCTACATGACCGTTCTCGGTTCCCATGTCTCCTTAGTTCAGATTTTATCGTTGATAAAGCAAAATGACACCTTTGTTTACTAATAATCTGTACTCAAGGCCTCATAGCTCTATAATAAAAGCATTTAAACCAAAATGATGACACGGGATTGTAGCCTACATATATACACTCCTGGTCAGCTCTAACAATTTCGTGATAAAATCTAGTTCAGGGACGAAATTACTCTTCATACCGATTGCTAATAAAAAAATACAAAGGTGTTAAATTGACGATTAAAGCTTTGAGTTGCCTATGCTATTGAATATACATCGAAAAGAAAAAATATAAATACCGATATTTTACATTTCTGGGAGTTTTTTCATTGTTTCAAATCTGCACAAAGACAGATGCATTATTGAATAATTGGATGCAGGTAAAAACTCTTTCGTTATTAGGATGATAACAAAGGGTTACAATGTCCTTAATTTTAAAAACAAGGCGGCAAAGCTATTTTGACAACTGGTTTAAGTGTTATAGTAATCTCACCTGTCATCCCTCTTTCCCTCATAAATTCTTCCAAGCCCTGGTCTATATCTTTCACGTCCCATTTGCTGAAATAATTGAACCCCTTTGTTCAAATTCATGTGACTCTACAAACAAAGCTTTTTCGGGTATAACAGATAGGCTAAAATGAATCCTTTGAATGTAGAGCATGTGGTTTCCTCGTGTAGTTCTGTTTTCACATCCCTCATGCATTGTGGGTATTATTATTATTATTATTATCATTAATTTTTTGTTCAAATTTCAAAATACTATCTCGAAATTTCGAGATAAATTTTTTTTTGCTCAAATATCAAAATGCTATCTCGAAATTTCGAGATAATTTTTTTTGTTCAAATTTCAAAATGCTATCTCGAAATTTTGAGATAAAAAATTTTTTTGTTCAAATTTCAAAATAGTATCTCGAAATTTCGAGATAATTTTTTTTTTCAACATATGGCACCAGTCGGCTTCCGTATAAAATGAATCCTTTGAATGTAGAGCATGTGGTTTCCTCGTGTAGTTCCGTTTTCACATCCCTCATGCATTGTGGGTATTATTATTATTATTATCATTAATTTTTTGTTCAAATTTCAAAATACTATCTCGAAATTTCGAGATAATTTTTTTTTTTGCTCAAATATCAAAATGCTATCTCGAAATTTCGAGATAATTTTTTTTGTTCAAATTTCAAAATGCTATCTCGAAATTTTGAGATAAAAAATTTTTTTGTTCAAATTTCAAAATAGTATCTCGAAATTTCGAGATAATTTTTTTTTTCAACATATGGCACCAGTCGGCTTCCGTAGTACACAGACATCACAATATATACAAACACATTCAGAGGCAATAGTGAATACACACAGCAAACAGAATATAAACAGACACATAGTCATACATTGACAACACCATCATTCAGCGCAACAATAATGTTTACAAACAAATAGAGTGAAATATCTGACATACACATTGCTCACAAAAAATACAAACACCAACAGTAATGACACAAACATGAACAGTGATTTAAATAAGTACAAACAAACAGTCACAATACAGACATACACAGTGATTAGAATAAATTTTGACATGTACAGTGACAACACAACCATGCACAGTAACTAGAATGAACACTATAATAAATTAGGTGATAGCAAAGTCATACAGAGTGATTGGTGACAGAGTGAAAAAAAGAGACATGCACTGTGATCACAATATATATACAAACACATACAATGACAATAGAAAATGGAAACAGCAACTGGAATATAAAAAGACACAAACTATGCTTATAGCAACAACATAAACATGAACAGTTATAATAATGATCAAAAACATATAGAGAGAAAAAACTGACATAAACATTGCTCACAATAAATAGAAACACCAACAGTAATGACACAAACATGAACAGTGATCAAAATAAATATTAACATGCACAGTTATAACAGTAACATGCATCGTAATGAAAATAAACACAAGGAAAAAGAGTGAAAACATAGCTCTACACAGTGATCACAATACATGGAAACACATAGAGTGACAAAACAAAATAGACACAGAGAACAGAATATAAACAGACACATAGACATACAGTTACAGTACTATCATGTAGAGTAATAGTAATGATTACAAACAAAAACATTGACAAAACAGACATTACTCACAATAAATACAAACACGAACAGTGACAACACAAACATGAACAGTAATGTAAAAAAATACAAACAAATACAGACATACACATTGGTCAGAATAATTTGACATGTACAGTGACAACACCACCATGTAAAGTAACCAAGTAGCTGTTATAACAGTAACAAGCATCAAAATGAAAATGAACACAAGGAAAAAGAGTGAAAACATAGCTCTACACAGTCATCACAATATATACAAAGACATTCAGTAGCAACAGTGAATAACAGACACGGCAAACATAATATAAACAGACACATCAGAATTATGTGCAGACACAAACAGTAAAAACACAAACATAAACAATTATAATAATGATTAAAAACATATAGAGAGAAAAAAACTGACATAAACATTGCTCACAATAAATAGAAACACCAACAGTAATGACACAAACCTGAACAGTGATTTAAATAAGTACAAACAAACACAGTCACAATACAGACAAACACAGTGATCAGAATAAATTTTGACATGTATATATATTCAAACAGTTATAATAATGATTAAAAACATATAGAGAGAAAAAACTGACATAAACATTGCTCACACTTGCACAGTAATGAAAATGAACACAAGAATATAAACAGACACACAGACATACAGTGACAGTACTATCATGCAGAGTAATAGTAATGATTACAAACAAATACATTGACAAAACAGACATACACATTGCTCACAATAAATACAAACACGAACAATGACAACACAAACGAGAGCAGTAATGTAAATAAAAACAAACAAACACAGTCACAATACAGACATACACAGTGATCAGAATAAATTTTGACATGTACAGTGACAACGCAACCATGTACAGTAATCAGAATGAACACAAATTAATTGGATGATTACACAGTAATACACAGCAATACACAGTGATCAGTGATGGAGTGAAAACAGAGATATACACAGTGATCACAATATATATACAAACACATACAATGACAGTACAGAATGGAAACAGTGTTGACAATAAATCAAATATCAACAGTAACAATGCAAACATGCACAGTGATCACGATAAATACAAACACAAACAGTGACAACACAATCATACACAGTAATGATAATTATTACAAACAAACAGAAGAACAAACAGACTTTCACAGTGATCAGAATTATGTGCAGACACAAACATTAACAACACAAACATATACAGTGCTCAAAATAAATACAATCACAAACAGTGACAACACAAACATGCACAGTAATCAAAATAAATAGAAACAAACACAGTCACACTACAGACATACACAGTGATCAGAATAAGTTGACATGTACAGTGACAACACTACCATATAAAGTAACAAAGCAACTGTTATAACAGTATCATGCATCGTAATGAAAAAGAACACAAGGAAAAAGTGATCACAATATATATACAAACACGTACAATGACAGTACAGAATGGAAACAGTGTTCACCATATATACAAACATCAACAGTAACTATGCAAACACATACAGTGATCACAATAAATACAAACACAAACAGTGACAACATTAACATGCACATTAATGATATATATTACAAACAAACAGAAGGACAAATAGACTTTCACAGTGATAAGAATTATGTACAGACATAAACAGTAAGAACACAAACATACACAGTGATCAAAATAAATATTAACATGAACAGTGATAACAGTAATGTGCACTGTTATGACATTGAACACAATGGAAAAGAGTGCAAACATAGCCGTACACAGTCATCACAATATATACAAACACATTTAGTAAGAATACAGAATAGACAAAGAAAACAGAATATAAATAGACACATAGACATACATTGACAACACTCAGCATTGAGCGCTATAGTTATAATGATAAACAAATAGAGGGACAAAACTGACATACACATTGCTAATTATAAATACAAACACCAACAATAATAACACAAACATACACAGTGATCACAATAAAAACAAACCCAAACAATGCCAACACAAACATGCACAGCAATGATAATGATTACAAACAAATGGAAAAACATACAGACTAACACAGTGATCAGAATTATATGCAGACACAAAGAGTAACAAGGCAAACATAAACATAGACAGAAACATACAGTTCTCAAAATAAATATAAACATGTACATTGATAATAGTAATGTGCACTGTAATTAGAATATTCATTGTGAGCAATGTTTATGTCATTTTTTTCCCTCAGAACAGAATATAAACAGACACATAGTCATACATTGGCAACACCATCATTCAGCACAATAGTAATGGTTACAAACAAATAGAGTGCAAAATCTGACATACACATTGCTCACAATAAATACAAACACCAACAGTAATGACACAAACATGAACAGTAATGTAAATAAATACAAACAAACACAGTCACAATACAGACATACACAGTGATCAGAATAAATTTTGACATGTACAGTGACAACGCAACCATGCACAGTAACTAGAATGAACACTATAATAAATAAGGTGATAGCACAGTCATACATAGTGATTGGTGACAGAGTGAAAAAAGAGATATGCACTGTGATCACAATATATATACAAACACATACAATGACAATAGAGAATGGAAACAGCAACTGGAATATAAAAAGACACAATCTATGCTTACAGCAACAACATAAACATGAACAGTTATAATAATGATTAAAAACATATAGAGAGAAAAAACTGGCATAACATTGCTCACAATAAATAGAAACACCAACAGTAATGACACAAACATGAACAGTGATCAAAATAAATATTAACATGCACAGTTATAACAGTAACATGCATCGTAGTGAAAATGAACACAAGGAAAAAGAGTGAAAACATAGCTGTACACAGTGATCACAATACATGGAAACACATACAGTGACAATACAGAATAGACACAAAGAACAGAATATAAACAGAAACATACCATACATTGACAACACAATAGATACAAACACAGACAGTGACAGCACTTACTTGGACAGGAATCAAAATAAATTTCAACAAATAGTGTGACAGAAATGAAATACAAAGACCAACAGTAATGACACAAACATATACAGTAATCACAATAAATAGAAACACAAACAGTGACAAAACAAACATGCACAGCAATG